TGTGTGATCATGGTGATTGTGGATCGGGCTCTTACAGTGGGCTAGCTGTTGCACCAAGTGGTCCGCAAGTGCCAGCTGTGTGGCCCTTGTACCCATGTGGTCATCATGGGTCTGGTCATCACGGGGTGAACACTTGAAGTTGTGCTGTGCCTATGGGAGAGAAACCATCAGAGATGAGAAAATGACAGCTGGGTGGTTTGGGGACAGCAGAGCCAAGGGAGATCAGGAACTCTGGAGGTAGGCAACCTGGGTTCAAATCCCAGCTTGACCTCTTAAGGTTGCTAGATCTTGGGGGAAGTCACTCAGTTTTCTCATCTGGAAAGTAGGGCAATAATAGCACCACCCCGGCAGGGTTGGTGTGAGCATTCAGATGTGTTACTGGTTGCTAAGAACTTCCAAGACACATGGCCCAAGGGCAGGACTATCTAAGGGTTAGATGATTTAGAAGGCTTTGGGAAGAGTGGGATTTCAGCTGAGCGCTATGTGGGGATTGAGCTCTGGTTAGTGGAGCTGTAGTTTGGGGAAGAGGCCTCCCCTCGGAGGAACGGCAGAGATAAAGTTGCTGTTAGATGCCAAGGAGACTAGTTCCTTCTCATGGTGACCCTGTGTTTAGCAGAAACACTGCCTGGTCCTGTGAGGCTTGAGCCCTTTGTTACAGCCACTGGGTCCACCCATCGCGCTGCAGGCCTTCCTCTTTTTCGCTGCCCCTGTACCAAGCATGATGTCCTTCTCCATCTCCCCTGATAACATGCGCTGATAGCAAACACACGAGACGAGGTCTCGCCAGCCTCCCTTCCAAGGATAAAATTGGAGTTCATGGGAGCAGAGGATGGTGTGTGGATGGGAGTCAGAGAAGGAGCCTGCTGACACAGTGGTTAGGCACCTGGCTGCTGGCCAAAGGCTCAGCAGTTCAAAGCCACCCAGCTCCTCAGAGGGAGAGAGACCTGCCGATCTAGGGGGCCGTGGAGGGGTCAGGATTGAGTTGACAGCCCCCAATAACAGGAAGTAGGAGGAAAAGATGAAGCTAACCACACAAGATGGAGGGCTATCTAGGAAGCTTGGATTTTTAGATAGGCCACAGGAGCCGTGGAAACTTTGAGAAGTAGAGCTGTTAATAGAACAATTCTCTATTGATGAGGATGAGAATGAGGTGCCCGGCAGGAATCTGGGCCTTTTTCTTTTATTCTAACAGCTCTTGAAGCTCT